ATTAATAGCCAAGGTACTAAACCGACAAACGAACGCTGCGAAGCCATTCGCCTTTACCCGAAGCCCCAAACAATTTCCGAACTGCGCAGATTCCTAGGGTCATGGAATTTTTATAGGCTAAATATGCCCGGCGCAGCCGAAGCCCATGCACCACTTGTCGCCCTCACTGCCGGCGCGCGCAAAAACGACAAAACCAAAATCGTTTGGGATAAGTCAACTACCGAGGCATTCGAAAGCTGCAAACAACTATTGACTAACGCTGTGCAGCTTGCATACCCTTCACCGGACGTACCACTCACGCTGCGCTGCGACGCATCAGACCAATCAGTTGGCGCTGCATTAGACCAGCTCGTGAACAACGAAAGACAGCCGCTAGGGTTCTATACCAGCAAACTTAATAAAACGGAAACAAATTACAGCGCGTATGACCGCGAGCTGCTTGCCATATTCAAAGGCATTAAATTTTTCAGACATTTGCTAGAAGGTAGAGACATTACAATTTTAACCGATCACCGACCTCTCACATTCGCTTTCTCGCAGTGCTCGCACAAAGCTTCACCACGCCAGCAACGCCAACTACAGTTCATTAGCCAATTTACGACACAAATAATTCACATACCGGGAAAACAAAACATCGTCGCTGATGCCTTTTCCAGAGTAAATAAACTCAGCTTACCTGTCAGCACAACTGCGAAAGAGATCGTTGAACAACAGTCTGAAGATGAAGAGCTAAAACACCTCCTTCAATCAACTACCACATCACTGAAGCTTAGGCAAGTGGATGTCGACAGCGAAGGTACGAAGATATTTTGTGATACCTCAACCGGGACTATACGGCCATATGTACCTATGAAATTACGTCGCAAGTTTTTCGATCAGTTGCACAATCATCGATCGTTACACACGATGGCCGGAAGCGATACCGCTCAGGGATATACAAACCGNGTACAGATACTGCTTGACAATCATCGATCGTTACACACGATGGCCGGAAGCGATACCGCTAAAGGATATACAAACCGAAACTGTAACCAACGCATTTTTCAACGGCTGGGTCAGCCGATTTGGAGCACCAGCAACCGTAACCAGCGACAGAGGAACGCAATTCGAATCCAAATTTTTTGCTGCATTTACGAAACTTATTGGCTGAAACCGAATAAGGACGACCGTATACCATCCAGCTGCAAATGGTATAGTTGAACGATGGCATCGTTCACTTAAATCTGCCATCATGTGCCACTCTACACAAAACTGGGTCAAAATTCTTCCAGTCGTACTGCTCGGCCTACGAACCAGTTTTAAAGAGGACATTAAAGCCAGCGTCGCGGAAATGCTGTACGGTACAACACTACGCCTTCCAGGCGATTACTTCATCGGCGAAGAAAAGGGGCCTCTAGCACAATGTTTTGTACAGAATTTTCGCGAATTCATGCGTACGGTACGCTCTGCACCTACCGCTCATCATACGAAATCGCGTGCATTCACACATAGGACTCTTAGTACATCAACACATGTTTTCATTAGAGTGGACGAAATGAAGAAACCACTTGAACCACCATATAGGGGCCCATACGAAGTCCTCGAACGAATCAGCGACCTCGTTTTTCGGGTCAACGTGGAGGGACGTTCGACTACAATCTCCACCGAGCGACTCAAACCCGCGTTCACTGAAAATACGACGGAATCTCCGCCAACTAAACAAAACAACGAAAGCAATGCATCACCAGCGCCAACAACCAGCAGTAATCGATTGCCACGTAATCCTCGAACACATAAGCGGAAACAGCGAAATCAGTAGCTCGGAGTATAACTCCAACCCACTTCGGGGGGGCTACTGTGGCAACCACCAAAAAACAGCTGACAGCTGCTTGCTGAATTAGTGCTGAATTTAATAGAAAATGGACAGCGGCAGATTCTTCTTTGCGGAAGTTTCTCTCGCTCTCTGGATTTTTGACTGCGACACGAGGCGGACGTCTTGGGTTATACAAACTAGCTAGCACACATAAAATATAATCCGATTAAATATTATAGTTGTAATTTGTAAGTAATAAAGAAAAATAAATAGTAAATTACCATCTCATCTTACTTGTACGCTACAGTTTCTTGCACAACGGTCGATTTCTTCTGGCATGATTGAAGGTGCTGCACATATTTCGTTGTCGCTTATGATTGTCACTGTGCCTGAGCTGAGATTGGGGTTTTACTATAAACCTAAATACATAAGTGTTTCCACAGTCCAGCGTTGTCTCTCACTCTCTCCCTTGTTTTTTGCTATTTGTTTATAAATGATTAGTTTCACCATTCACCATAGATAATCAAACAAAAAAAAAAAAAAAAACTAGAATTTAAACTTTTTGCGAGTGCCCATATAAATAGTTATTAAGTCGGCCATTGTTTAATTTTTGTTCTTGGACATTTCTTATTTTTGAATTGCAACGTTATACATTAAATTAAAGGAAACCGCCCCTTTGTAACTTATTAAACAAATAACCACAAAAACAAAAAAAAAAACAAAGAAAAAAGAAACAAAAACTGTTGTACAAAAGAAACATTAATATCTACAAGCCCCTATATCTAAGTATGTAGTATGTTTCTCTTTTCTTGATGTAATAAATTTGGATATTATAATGGAGTAATTTAAATTTTTCCTTGGCGATAGGGTAACGGAAAGGTTTGATGAAAGTTGATAGGGGATTTTCAATTAATCGCCATTGAGAATCCATGGGGGGTGTGCTTAGCCACTGCATCTGCGCTAGAGAAAAAAATCAGCAACAACGAGACTCGTAGGCAATTCTTATTTTTGATTATTTAAAGATTTTTCGTTTCGTTTTGGGTTAAACTCCGGTCGATCAGTTTCGTCGGCATTTTGGTCTTATTTTGTTATTTTGCTAGGAACTCTTTAAACTTTTTGAACCAACTAGACGAGTTCTGTCCGACTATTGCCTAGAACCAAGTGAGTCCATAGGTGTTGGTTACAAATACGCGCAAAAAAACACGACCTCCGAGACACTGTGAAAAAAGTTTTGAGTAGCTTTCCCCTGCCGCTGCATTGAGCGCATTGTTGGTCGAGATCTACACGTCGTACGCGAACATATAAATAATGCGTTAATTGGAAATTTTGTCTTCTACAACTTTTACATTTAAATGTGCCACTTATTTCAAATAGAAATTGCTCAAAATTCAAAAAAACCGCGCCACTTACCCAATTTTGGGCATTTTTTGCATATTATTAGCAATAAATAATCGTTTAAAAAAATGATAGGCACATGAAAATTGTAGGGAATCGATTTCTCTAAAAATTTGTTCCCTACCTTTTTTCGCGAGAAATGCAAAATTAGCACGCAAATCGTAAAAAACACAAAATCCAAGATGGTGGATATTTCCCATATCGCAATTGGGGGAAAACTTTTATTTTCGTGTTCATCTACATAAACAGGAGACACCAAACTGCGTCAAAAAATTTCTTCCTGGAACTTTTTCGTTGAAAAAATCGAGTGCAAAATTCGCGCTCAAATCGCAAAAAACACAAAATCCAAGATGGCGGATGGAGGACATTTCCAATATCGCAATTGGGGGAAAAATTTTCATTTTGTGTTCACCTAAACAGGAGATACCAAACTGCATAAAAAATTTCTTCCTGGAATTTTTTCGTTGAGAAAATCTAATGCAAAATTCGCGCGCAAATCGTAAAAAACACTCAATCCAAAATGGCGGACATTTCCCATATCGCAATTGGGGGAAAAAAAATGTCATTTTGTGTTCACCTAAACAGGAGACACCTAACTGCGTCAAAAAATTTCTAAAAGATCTAAAGTGATTGGGCTATACCGTGTACACAGCTTGTAGAGTACGTGATAGAAAAAATTTGAGATTTCTACTCTTTGACTGTAGCTGCAGAACTATCAGAATGGTTTGACTCGAAGAAACCAGTAAAAAGCCGGCAATAGTATTTTAATCTTACGCCTTGTGTTCACAAAGGCGTAAAGCGATTTGGGTTTAAAAACGATATTGAGTAGAGCCCTTTTAATATAATTCTTGCAACATTTTTTGTTTACCAGTGCCGGCAACCTTTGTGTGTGAAATAATATATGTAAATCAAAAATAATAATAGCAGATTGGTACTTACACATAGGTCACAAAGGGAAGCGACCTACAGTTTTACGCCGAATCCGAACGGCGATTGTATTTTTTTTATGAGAAGCTGTTTTTCTTTGCAGAATATATTCGGAGGTTTGGCATTACCTGCCTAAAGTGACCGCTATTAGAAAAAACTTGTTTATGTTTTATTTTTTGCCGTTGGTCGGAAATTGGGCTTGAACCCAGGCCCTGCGCATTGCTAACCAGTACACAGCGACCGCCACATGAAAGCTAATCATTACTTTTAGAATCTTTTTCTGCAGATTAATAATGACGATAAAGTATTATAAAAATTTATTTTTTGCTCAACAAAAATCATTCTTATTTGATCAAAAGTAATGATTACTCGTATAATCCATATTTCATTTCGTAGATAAAATTTATGAATACAAATATAAGAAAAATAAAACAGCAAATACTTATGTATACAATTTTTTCATATAACTTATTGAATTTGAACTGCCGGTTTCACCAGCAATTTAAATGAAAAATCATTATTCTCCTTCTGTAAGTTTTCATGTCTGCACTTCTCAAGAATATTACCAGGGAATATTTTTCATCAGTTCTGCTGCTTGAAAAAGTACTTTGATGTCGATGTAAATTTTCTTAAAAAAAATAAATATAAGAATAAAATTTTCTAGGGATCTGCATAATTATATGAGAAATTTTGATAGAAGAAAATTATTTCCATTTCTAGTACATCATGATATGAATTTTTCGTTTTTCTTGAGAACTGTATACAACACTTAAATTCAAATAAAAAAACTCATTTTTCACTAAGTTGCTTTCGTGAAACTGGCTACAAATATTGCGCATATAATTACATATTTGACTGCATATGTATCTGCATACATATATTTCAGATGCCAGGCCGGAACTGGACGGTGCATTGTTGACAAAGCCCACAGAAATCAGTGTCAGGCGTGCCGCCTTAAAAAGTGCCTTCAAATGGGAATGAATAAGGATGGTTAGTATAATTACAAAATATCCGAGATAATTACACATATTAATACTCTCATACCAATGTGGTTTATGTCAAAATTTATGTTAATTTAGATTACAACACCGACTACTTATGACTACATAAGTGTATCTCGTTATCGCTTTATCGATTTCTACCAAATACGGTAAAATTATTTCATTAAGTCTAAAGGCCCATTTACAATGAAGCGAGACGCGAGTAGAGATGAAACAATAACATGGTGATATCGATACATTTACTTGGAAGTAGTATCGAAACCTGAAAAATATCGGATCTAAAGCAGAGCTGCTCGCTCCATAAGCACTTTTATGGCATTCGTTTTTGTTTTGCCCTGACGTTTAGGCACAAATACAAATTTACACTTCAAATCAAGGCGAACTAATATATGGTTATAGCAGGAGTTCAAAAACAAAAATTTACATGTCCTTTGTTTTTGCTTTTGCGGAGTGAACTGTTAAAATCTATAAGCGTGTACATATTTCAATTTGACATTGTAAGCCGTGATGCGGAACACACAAATACACAAAATTAGCTGATCTAGTAACACCAACTTATATAAGGTCGCCTTCTTTTAGATTAAAAAAAATGTATCGCAGTCCCGTATGCCCTGACATATAAACACAATTCATATGAAGGTGCCTCAGCTTTATATGAAGGACAAAGCCAGTGTTGCCATTTTGGTACTTTTGGTGCTAGATTTAGCTCGTTATTTTTTTATTTAGCTACAAAAATTGGGCTTTAGCTCCTAGCTCCTTTCAGCTCTCCTCAAAATTATCTAGCACATTCTAGCTTCAGCAAGTTTAATTTGCATTTGGTAATATATTAAAATTATAAATCTGTAATTTCATTGTACAAGTGTTAAATACAATTTCTTTGGCTTTGGTGACCTCAGGCTATTTTTGATACTCTCATGTTATTCTATTTCAATTAATATTTAGAAAAGTTACATTCCTAATACAAATGGCGCGTAAGCAAATGGAAATGGTCCAGTAAATCGTTTAGTTTCTACAAAGTTCGCGGGAGCACATAAACTATACCGGTCAGTAATTCCCGCAAGGATGACATGATATGAAACTCTTCCATTTTTCTTCCGAGAATCTAACTTAAACTCGCTTTCTGACTTGGCAACACTGTCAAATAAAGTTGGTCTGAACAGCTGACAAGCAAAATCACTAGATACGCACGAAATACACCGATTTAATTCCAATGGATTTCCCTTATATAGTAATTTTTAACACTAAATAATTAAGAAGATAGTAAAAATCTAAAATATTTGCTTGTTTTGTTAGATAAAAATATTCACAAAAATTTGCTCAATAAAATGTACCAATATGATTTTCGCTGCTGTGTCAATATTGGGGGATGTTATAAAAATGAAACTTTTCACAGCGCTCTCACGAGAAAAATAGTTTTTCCACGGGAAAATGCAGACTCCGCCATAAACTCTTGGATCTGGGTTAAACAAATTAATTAGAAGAAAATCCGTTTTAGCTCCAAACGAAACTTTTTCTGGCAACACTGGGCAAAGCAAACACACTGCCATATGAAGCTCAGGCATTCCAGAAGGATGTACAAATTTACACAAAAAATATATAATGAAAAATAACAAAAAATTGTAAAAGCACTGAGAAAAATGTATACTTAAAATTTATTTAATATACGTATATAGTGAAAGTGTAAAAAAGACACATGGCGTTCAATAAAGAGTGAGAGCGCGAGTTCTTTTTTTTTATAACAATTTTGAGTGAGAGGTTGAAAAAAATTATTGTTTGCCCATCGGAATTCAATGTAATACCTTTGGAGCATCACATCACGTAAACTAGAAAGCAGAAAAAAGAAATTACGCGACTTTTATATTGAAGGGGCCTTCAATAATGTCCAATCGGAGGCGATAAGCAAGGCACTCTCTGAGCACGGCATTCAGCGTCCTGCGGTGGCATGGATTAACTCCATGCTCAATAGCACACAGGATCTCTGAGAAGGAAAACCACCAGGGGCACACCTCAAGGGGGCTTAGTATCCCCTCTACTCTGGCAAAATCCTGTCAACGATAAGTGAACTAATGTAGAGTGCACTAGGTAATATCTATAAGTGGGCCAACCAGAATGGATCGTGCTTGGCGACTTAAATGCCAGGGTAGGCAAGGAAGGGAACCACTGTCTGAAAATGCAGCCTCCCCACGACGAAACGTCCGACAAAGGACTGAGGCTGGTCGNTATGTTTACATTTCATTGTGCGGGCTTTTAATGCAACTATTTTGCCGAAGTGTGTACATAAATAAAGTGTTTATTGTGTGAAATAGCGTCGAGAGGTTAGTTCAATTTACTAACTTTAACAACAAATAACTTAAAAACTATAAGTCTGCTGCGGCTAAAAGTATATATATTTACAATCAGGAGAACTCCCTCTATCGTTCCATACCCTTCTTAATGCCGAACTCCGGGGATGCCAAACTAAATTGCAGCCGTCGACTTCGGCGGGGCCCGAAACATGGTAGTATTCAGTACTAGGTTCAAGCATAAAAAGATCCATAAAGCTACGTGGTCGTCTCCAGATCGAAAAAACAGAAACAAAATCGATCATGTTGTGATAGACGGAAGGCACGCTTCCAGTGTTTTGGACGTACTTATCGCCGCCGAAGAACCAGTCGAATTTCAGCGAGGCCGAAAGAGCAACTGGTACCATGAGGAATTCCACGAAGCTGCAGAAAAAAAGATGCAGCCTACAGGACCACACTGCGATCGGGCGCAACGCGTGCTATATTTGGACTGCTATAGAGAACTGAAGAGGGAAGCGAGACGCATTTACCGCAATAAGCAGAGAGCCCGAAATACGTGAGTACGAAGAGCTTAAGATGCTGGCCGACAGGAAAAACGCCCGAAAATTTTACCAGAGAGTAAGCCGCCTTCCGGAAGGATTGAAGACCAGAGCGAACTTCTGTAAGAACAATGGCAATCTAAAGACTGACGTCCAGGACAAACACTTTTCCACCCTACTGAATGGGAGCAGCTCTGAAAGCTCACATCCTCAGTCGATGATGACGGAATCGATGTTCTACCACCTCACTATGCCGAAGTATGAATAGCAATATCGACTTGAAAATCAACAAAGCTGCTGGGGCTGACAGCCTTCCAGCAGAGCTATTAAAGTACGGCGGCGGGAAGCTGATAAGGTGCATGCTCACCTCTTGTGCCGAGCATGGTAAGATAAACGCTTGCCCGACGACTTGAATTTAAGTATGCCCTGCCCAATCCACAAGAAAGGCGACCCCGCCATACCCGCTAGCTAGTTTCAGACAGGGCGACACCCTTTCATGCGATTTCTTTAATCTGATGTTGGAGAAGATAATAAGAGGTGTAGAAATGAACCGCTCAGGGACAATTTTCTACAAGAGCGTGCAATTGCTGCCGTATGCCAATGACATCAACAACATCGGTAAAGAAAACCGCGAAGTCTGGTCTGCCTTCTCCAAGTTTGATAACGAGGCAAAACGAATAGATCTAGTGGTAAACGAAGACAAGATGAAGTATCTCCAGTCATCAAACAAACAGTCAGCAAAGAATTTCGTTTCTCGTTTCGTCCTCTCCCGACGTACGAAAACCGCCTCTATAAGTAAGTCATTAGGCCCGTGCAGGTATATGGCGCAGAAGCATGGTCAATCCGATTAGGCGGCTCTTGGAGTATTAGATATATATGAGCCTTCAACGACATGGACATAGTACAGCGAATTAAAATACAGCGGCTCAGTTTGTTAGGATGGACGCCGACGCACAGTGGGCTAATCGACCCTGAACGTGGAGATCAATTCATACGTATATTTCATTTAAAATATTTTGAAGTATTTGTATAACTAGCACCAAATGAAGTAAAAAAAAAACAAATCCGAAAATAGTTTAGTGGGATTTTTTTATGTAGGTTTTATGGAGTTACCAAAGAGCGAGAATAGTTAAAATTTAGTTGTTACTCCCATAAATAATTTTTATTAGTAATGATAATTTTTTAAAATCCTAATCATCATTAATTACAAGTTAAACACCAATTCTATTATTATAATAATTATCATCATCATTATCTTCATTACTATTTTCATCACGCACATCATCACTTTTTTAGGAAACTTTTTATATGATAATGAATACGAAATGTACAAATTTTCTCTTCAACAATTATCTACATGTTTTTGCTAAGCCTAGAAAGTAATTTAGAATATATAACCTTTAATAAAAATAATAATCTTCGGTTGCGTCATTGTCATCACCAGGGAACGGATTTTATGGAAATTGCCTTTTTTTCTGCTAAAGCGATAGAGTATATTCGATTAAGAATGTCCAAGATTTAGCTTTCCCTGATTCCATATATGCACATTTGATGTTGCCTTTTTTTGCCTTTTTTAAGATATTTGCCTTTTTTGCCTTTTTTAAGATATTTGCCTTTTCTACCTTTAAAAAAGTGTTTATAGCATTTAAAATTAAAAAATATACACATGCCCATGCGGCTTATAGAAGCGCAGGGACCTCTTGCCAAATTGGTGTTGGAAAAATTCATAGTCGTTTTCTCAGCTAACGTAGGCTAGGAGACAATAAGGGGTGTGGATAAATTTGAAAAGGACGAGGAAAACGCCCTTATTCCTGATAATATGAACGTTTCAAACGTTCCATATTTAAATTGGGCTACACTTGTATCAACTTACGTCAAGCGCACATTTAGTACATTCAAGGCTTTTCTTCGCGAAAATCGAATGAAAATGCTGCCAGAAAATTTCAAAATGCATCTTGGGGTTCAATGTTACTACAACTATACAGATTAAAGTTTTATGAGTTAGAAACTCGAAAGGATAAAATAAAAAAGATTCAAATTACAAATTTTTCATGTAATAAAACTAGTTCATAGTTTTTCTCTTTTTACTTGTAATATAAACATTTCTAAAATAAATGTATTTTTTGATTGTTCTTCGTATTTTCTGTATTTTTTTAGTGCCTTATTTT